GAGAGAATAAGTTCACGGGATAATTCATATAAACATGATTATAAGTTGATCCCTTGTAATTTGAAATGTAACTTAAAGATTAAAGAGTTAGGAATAAGTACATAAAATGATTTATTTGCCAAAAGGCAGTAATTTTCTTTAAATCTACCAGTTGCGGGTTATAGCGCGTTCTCGTTATACTGATTGGCTGAGAGGAGTGCGATATTCTAGTGATAACAGCACTCCGAGTGAGTGACTCACAGTGAGTGTCATGACGGACGCCCAGATCCGCTATAATTTTATAAATAATACTGTTTTTGTGTCACTGAATGTAGGCTAGTTTTCATTAAAGTTGTAGACTTTCTTAGGTGACAATGTAGTTATTTAGACCTGAAATTTATGTTTAGTTAATAAAGATAACGTATATTTGAAAATTTTCTTCGACGAAATTTGCTCTAGGGCGTCAGCTGCTGTTCAACGCTCATGAATCTGCCGAGAGCAGCCTTATCTCAGCCAGTTCTTCTGGCTCTGATATCTCTATAGTGGTTAAACATGAGATATGATTCGTTTTAGGTAAATCTAACAGGCAATCTTCAGTCACATTAATCTACTATTTGTTCCAGAGCAAATTTTTTGGCTGAGGGCAAAATCTCATTACGTTATATTTTTTATACCTTTAATGCTGTATATCAGAGCACAGCACTTTGTGCTGACTTAATTGCCTAGCAAGTTTTATGATGGCTGTTGCTGTTGTTGTTTATTATATATTATTATTCAATAAATAATATTTTATATAAATAATAGTAGTATTTAATAATAGTATTTAATATTGAGAAACGGTCTGTGTTCGTGATGGTGATTTTGGTTACTTTATTCCAACAAGACAATGTTCCAACATGTTTTTATGAGTGAGTCAGCAGTTATATTTATATTGAAAGAGACTGAAACAGGGTTATAAACAAGGAAGTTATTTTTACTTTCAACAACACCTTGTAAGACGCAGATAACAAATATAACAACAGATAACACCGAGCAGCGCTGTCAATGGAAATCACCCTTAACAGATAAAAGAATAGTGTGACAAAGATATCGCTTTCCTCAGCAGACATTCAAACTAATGTTTTATGCTGAATATGAGATTGATCTGAAGAATGAATGCTGTATTAGATGCAGGTAATCACACATAACTCTCTCATAATACTTGACTCTACATAATACAGTGAACTTTTAATACAGTAATACAACAAGCTTTCAAAGAAGCAACTCCGTGTTCCTTCGTTACTAGTTCTAAAATGACGTTTTCTAATTAGTAACGGAGGTTTGGGCTCAGCTGTTAAACTACTGACAATCTGAGATTTGAATCCGTGGTGGAAGGAAGTAGTTCTGCACAAAAGATGGTTTTTAAAAACACTCCTTTGTTGTCATATGTGTATATGGCCGAATCATAGCTGATGCTGATATACAGCCATATCGCACTGCTACTCGTGTGATATTGCTTACACACACACACACACACACACACACGCACACACACACACACACACATAAATGGTGCTTCTGACAGAGATGTTTAAAATGATTCAGTTACACTTTACAATAAGACCTCTTTTATTATTAAAGCATCAACTAAATATATTTTACAGCATTTGTCAACCTTTGTTAATTTTAGTTAATAACAATGTTCATAGTGCATTAACTATTGTTTTTGTTAACTTTTGTTAATAGTTAACTTTTGATTTTTGTATTTTGTATAGTTATAACATTTGATTTGATAATGTATTAGTAAATGCTGAGATTAACTGAAACTAAGATTAATAAATGTTTTATAAGTATTGTTCATTGTTACTTAATGTTAATTAATGTCAAAAACTGAAACCTTATTGTAAAATGTTAATAATTCACGAGATGAAGTAGGGCTGGTTGATATGGCCAAAAATATTATCACAATATACACAATATTCATTGTATACCATTAATGGGAAAGAAAATACATTCCACATAATATGACAATAGTTTTCTCAAATGAAACTGTGAAATGCTCATATTTTGCTTTTGCAAGGATGGGAACATTCTAGAAGTTTCTATAACATTCTGGAATATCCTGTAATATTCTAGTGCTTTCTGGAACATTCCAGAACATCATTGGACTAGTCATGAGACAAAAATTATCCAACGTAAGCCTCTGAAGTTTTGGACAACTCACTCTTGGAAACTGTTTATGTCAAACTATTGTTAGCTCAGTATTATGCATGTACCATGTTATTTTTATGCATGAGCAATAACAGTAATAATTAGCTTGTATAAGTTGTCAACATATATATATATATATATTGGTTTGTTTTCATGAGCACTGTTAATGACACAAAAAGTAATGAGATTTTTGTATTCAGCATGTCAAACTTCATAAACAGTAAAAATAAAAGTGAAGCAAAGATTTTCTAAAAAATTGTTTTACAGAGTAAATATCTACCAATTGCCCAATCCTATAGGATGAAAACTCCAGTCAAATCAACAGCCTTGTAAAAACTGTTTTATTCTACAAGGGGATGGTCACCAATTCAATACACATTATTTAATTCAATAATACATTTCAGACACTTTTGTTTACAGAATAAATGAATCATGACAAACATACATATGATGTCACACCCCTGAACTGTCTTTGTGGTGTTTTCCCTCCCCATGTACTCCGTGACCCAGTTTATCCCCTGTCTAATTAGTCATTCTGTTCCTCCCAATTGCCTCATTAAGTCATGTATATTAGGTTCCAGTCTGTGCGTTCCTCCTTTGTCAGGTCTACCAGTTGTGTACGTGTGTCTTCCTTCCCTTCCAAGTGTGGATTTACCCTGTGCTTTAGATTGAATAAATCACAATTTTGTTTATCCATGGCTCCATCGTTCCTTCCGGCAGAGTATCGTGACAAAAGACCCGACCAAGGAAAGTTTTTTTACGTGTCTCCCCTCCGTTTGTTTTCCGTTTACCATTTAGCGTTTTTTGTTTCCGTAGTGTATCCTTCCCCATGGATTCCCTCGCTGTCAAGTTTACCTCCCTTGCCCGCAAGGACCTTTCCCTCTTGGAGTATGCTCTGGAGTTCAACCAGCAGTTCGACGACGCTGCGCTGAACTCCCTGTTCTGGATCTGGGCCAACTACTACTGCCCCGTCGACCTCCCAGACACCACCAGACTGTGCTAGAGGGAGGATATCATCCGGTGTCTGGAGAGTGTCTACCCCCGGTTCAGAACACAGCCAGACCCAGAGCCCAGCCCACCATCACCCTGCTGCACAGAGCTTAAGCCCGAGTCCACCGCTGACAGAGAGCTAGAGCCCGCCGCGACCGACGAGCCATCGCCATCCTCCTCAGTCCTCTGTCGCTCCGGCTCCACCGCGGCCTTCTGGTTCCCCGCCTCCTCCTCGGTCGCCAGCATGGAGCGACAGTGCTGAGGATCGCCCCGGAGCTAGAGCCCAACACGTCAGACCAGGTGTGAGAGCCGGCTACAGAGCTTGCCACGGGGGAGAGCGTCATGGACAGTGAGAGCATGGAGAGGAGCTCCGCCCCCTGCACCATGGCTGAGGGTGAGCTGTCTATGGATCTGGATAAAGGAAAAGTGGAATAAGACTTAATTGCCATTATGGCTGTGGCCTGGGTCCCACCTGGCGCTGCATGCTTCAAGACCCTCCTGTCTCCTCCCTGGTCTCTGTCTGCCGGCCCCCTCCCGGGTGTCCGTCCTCCTCCTGAGCCTCCTCCCAAGTTCCCACCCGTCCCTCCTTCTGTTGTTGTTATGGCACGGGACGCGCCTTCCGGGAGGGGGGAGTAATGTCACGCCACTGGACTGTTTTTGTGGTGTTTTCCCTCCCCATGTGCTCAGTGACCCAGTTTCTCCCCTGTCTAATTAGTCATTCTGTTCACCTGTGTTCCTCCCAATTGCCTCGTTAAGTCATGTATATTAAGTTCCAATCTATCCATTCCTCCTTTGTCGGGTCTACCAGTTGTGTACGTGTGTCTTCCTTCCCTTCCAAGTGTGGATTTACCCTGTGTGTTTGATTGAATACATTACATTTTGTTTATCCACGGCTCCTTCGTTCCTTCCGGCAGCGTATCGTGACATATGAAAGAGTATTTGTTACCATGTATGGAATACCATGTTAGCAGCATTTGTCAGTATCTGTAAAAAACTACAGCAACTGTAGTGAAGTTATCTTGTTTCTTCTGAAGCTTAAAGGTATTTAAAGCAATTTTTTTCTATAATAGCCATACAGAAAATGTTCCTGATATCACTCAACTATGTGTCCTTAGACATAACACCAGTCTCTTTGACAGTCCTAAACGCTATTATTCAGCCATTCAGAAGACTGGTTGGTGTTTTCTGTTGACCTTACAGTACATATAAGGGAACAGTTCACTCAAAAATTACTTTGTCATAATTCTCACCATATTATGTCTGATTAAATAAAAATATTTCATTTTTTTGAGCAAACTAATCCATTAACTCTGTGTGTGTATATCTGTTTGTATGTTATGAGGGGCCATGCAGAGGCAGTGATCAATAAACCGGGGGGCACGAGTGTGACAAAGGCA